GGTGCAGCCACGTGATCCACTCAATTTATGGAATGTTTCTCTGACCCTCCACGTGGTGTCCCCTTCCAGGGATGGCCCTGCCTAATAACACGTCCACAGTACGTGAGACAGAGTCGCTTCTCAGAAACAGTCTGGCAAAAGTTCTTTCAAGACACAAGCACACATGTGCGCCACAGCCACGGAGCCAATTCTGATCCATAGGGACCCTGCAGGACAGAGCAGAGCTGCCCCCTAAGATTTCCGAGCCTGTCATCTTTGGGGAGCAGATCACCGTGGCTTTCTCCCTCAGGGAGGTGGGAGGATTCTCACTGCTGACCTTGAGGTTAGCAGCCCACTGTGCACCGGAGCTCCCCACACAGGCACACACATCGATGTTGTGAAAGGAAGGGCCTTGTCTTTCTTCTTCACTGCCACCTCCTGGGAGCCTGGCACAGCCCCGGGAGCATCATGAGAATCCAGGAAGGATTTGAGTGAAGAAAGACGATTCACAAGAGGAGGTTCAGCCCCGTGGTGGTGGACTTCCCTGGAGAAAACACTCCTGAGGTGTTGCGTTTGCGCAGCCAGAGCCGAAAGAAGCAAAGCAGATCGTTCCGACCAGGGAGGCAAGGGAACCTTCACGCTGTTTGCGTAAGGAAGCTGCCCAGAAGCATGTGCCAACCTTGCTGCCCACTGCTGCCTGCCCCCAGGTGGGAATGAGAGCAGGTGTCTGGTCCTGGAGAGGCCAGACCTTGCTCGCGGTCAGTGCCCTTGAGAAGGCCAGCCGTCTGATTGGAACCGTGTGGCCCATGCAGACTCGACACTCAGCCTGCAGCCTCGAAGCCCCTCCTGGCCAAGTGGGCCAACCAGCTGCCTGGCATCCAATTGTAGACTGCCTCCCACGCCAAGCATGGGGGAGCCCAGACCACTGATTGGGCCGACCACCAAACCTGGCTTGTGAGGCTCAGTCTGTGTACTGAAATCATGTGCTGTCACTTCCTGAGCCCAGAGCACCAGGAACAAGTGGCGGCTGCTCAGGAATAATGGCCACGCAAGGCTCTGGGCTGACTCTCTCCTCTTGCTGCCCAGCAGGCTCTGTGGGTCATTTGAGCAGCTTGAAGGCAGCCAACCCCGGGGATGGGACAAGCAGTGACTGGGCACACACACAAAGACGGTCACCATGGTGTGCCAGGAGCCCATCTGTCGGAGGCAACATGGAAACGACATCCATTGAGGGACAATTCCTCTTCTTCCCTCTGCTGAAGCAGGAAGAGTAGCTCACACCTGCAAATACACACACAAACACACCAGTGCAGCAACAGTCACAGGCCCCTCATCTTCAAGGGCCACTTCCCATGGGCCTCTTGTCCAGT